GTGCGGTTGAAATCCGACTTGCAGACGGAAGGTGTCCGAGGGGCCACCTTGGCGGTTTATATAGTGTCCTTTTCCCGCGCGATCGAGGTGGTCAATCCGTGACCACCCATGCTCGATATGGTCCACGCCAACACGGTGTTAGGCTGTGAGGCTGATTAGTTCAACAGGCACGAATCTTGTTAAGGTATGAGGTTGCGACTTCGCTACAATCTTGACCATATTTCCTCCAGCATCGAAAAGCACTCCTGAATAGAGTCGTATGGTTCCTTACACGGTTTATGTGCAAACAGCCGCACATGTTCTGCCTCTTCACTGTTTTTGTTTTTGTGCCCTTAGTAGACATCCGATTTCGACCAAAATTATAAAAGGCGCGTACAATTTAACTGATCTTACTTTTCATTGATGTTCGACATGCTTTGACCAACGTTATTACTCGGGAATGTCCTGCCCAGGGTTCAGTTAATATTCTGTGTCTTTAAGAGGTTTGGTTCCTAGCGAATTCGAGAAACACCCTTTCCATTATTTGACAGAGCTTACGCATGTTGACCTTCGTCCCAAGATACATCTAGTAAGCGTGAAGCATGTTGAATGGGAGATCTGAGAAATCAAGTTTTCCGGAAATTTTCATGGGGGTACCGTTTTCAACATAATCGATCGTATCTCGGTTTTTAGGCAAGATAGAGACGTAGGATTGGTCGCAATCGATTCTTCATATTATCTTACACCTTTCGCTGGTTCCTCAACACATTCGTTTGTCTGCCAAATACTTACTGGCATTTCACGCTTGTGACCATCAGTATTGAGCTGATTGATCGGAGCCGGCCATGTCGGTCTTAGCCACCTGTGCGCAGCGACTTCGCCAGCTCATTACCGCAAGTAACTCCAGTGATAGTCGCTTTGCTCAGCAAAGTAACCAATAAGTTACTGGAATCTTTTACAGAAACATCGTAGGTGTAGACGAACCTGTGGAATGCTTCATGTGCCGAAATGCGACTGATAATTTGCACGGTTCAATATTTACTATTGTGCACTTCCATTTTAGAACAAAAAATTATTCATCAAAAATCACGATTTCTTGAGTCGAAATCGACTTATAAATGTAAGAAAAAAAACAAAAAAGCAAGAACGAAACAAAGAAAGAGAAAAAACAGCGACACATGTATTGAAAGTTCTCGGAATTAATTCAAACAATTCTGCTTGGGCGCCATTCGAGTAGGCAATAATTGGCGCATTCTTCAGAATTCCGACCACTTAATGCACCTGAGATTTACCGATCCGAACTATTCGAATGTCACCTTGGAAGAAAAGAAGCTCGAATGACAGTATCGATTTCCTGCAGATGGTAACGAAATCGAGATTTCGGGTGATCATACTGGATATCGAAGTTACTCTTATACCTGATGTATGTTCACGACTTCAGTGCCAGTTCGAACTCGATCTTCCACCAAAAATTGCTCCTTGCTCCTGCTGTACTTGGGTCATGCTCCAAGATACTCCAATATAGCTCCGTTTCCAAGTAGCAGAAAAAGCACACCCAAACGTTCGGAAGCTGTTAGTCAGTGAGATTGTTCCGAAAACACGAACACACAGCACTCAATAATACTTCTGAGAGGTATCATATGCAAAGGGGCCTCCTGCAATTCGTCTTTGGAGTGTGGGTTAATTAGTTCAAAGAACAATCCGTTCACACAGAGAAAAAATGCAGACGAAAGCACGGAAAGAGGGAGTGGTTAAGCTCGTCGACGCCGCGTTAATTGAGGAATCCTTCGCCATCTGAGAGGATTCTTCGAAACCCCAAGTCCTGAACTCACACTCAGTACTGAATAACTCACATGATTACCATTTGCAAAAAAACCTTTTTGTATCAATCCTCTTCCCTGATAGGAAGCAGCGTCCCTGCTTGCAAACGAAGGATAATTGAACGCTAAAACTGCAGAGTCAGTGCAATGGTGGTGAAAGATGGAAGCCAGTTCTCCTCGATTTTGCCGCGCTTCCACTCGGTTAGGGCCTGCCTGTACCTGTGGACTAGTTTGCCATGTAAGCTCGATATAATGAGAGTGCTTTATTTTTATTTATTCAAACGATATCACATTGTTTCAATGTGTCGTATCATACTTCGTCCCCATTGACTAGGATTGTTTGTGGCTGATCTTGTCCAAGTTTCTCCAAGAAAGGACACAAAAGAGTCTCGCTATCTTAACTTCGG